ACACACACACACACACACACACACACTAAGCCCCAGCAGGAAGACAGTAATATCAGCTCTTGCCACCTGCTTCTCAGTCAACCTTTCATTATCTCATCTGTAATATCAGCTTAGAGGAAAGAGTGTGTGTGAGAGTGTGTGTGTGTGAGAGTGTGTGTGTGTGAGAGAGTGTGTGTGTGTGTGTGAGAGAGAGAGAGAGAGAGAGAGAGGTGGAAGAAGAGGCGGAGCAATGGAAACACGTAGAAGAATAAAGCCGAGAGGACGCGCTGGATGTTCATTGACAGCAGGCTGACAGCGGCCGCTAAAACGCGGAGTGGAAGAGCGGCGCGCAGCTGGAGCACCGCTGGAAACGGGATGAGCATCATCATGCATATTTCATAATCAGATGATGAGCGCCGTGAGAGTGTGGGTGGGGGTGTAAAGTGGGAAGGTGAATGGGGAAAATGACCTGCGACAATGATCGTAACCGCTGCAGGTGTGGCAGCGGCGGTTCTGCTTTCATGCACCATTTGCGGCACACGCCGGCTTTGATGCCAGATCACGTGAGAGATTCTGAGGGACACGCGCAAGAAAACTGAGGCAGAGCGGCTACACAAGGCTGGTGCACTGCACAGTGGAAACAGGAATATTAATATCAACATTATAGCTGCTGGTTCCATGTATGCTAAATAGACACCTTTAGGGATTTAAAGGCAACATCTGCAGTTCGTTTCAAGTGTTTTGTGACGTGAGCCATTTCGAGCATATTTTTAAATGACATTAAACTCATTATACGATCAAAGCAGTTCCACACACCTCTATCTAGGAGTGTCTGTACCACCACTCCCTGCAAGGCCTTTCTTATCTGGGTGACTTTTATCCTATTGGACATTTCTCAGGTCTGACCCCACAACAATTCCTCTTCCTGACCTCTATCACTGTTCCAAAGACAGTCTCCCTCTACCACTTGTTTGTAGGATTTGAAGGACAACATTAAGAGGACAGAGGCTCTACCTAATAAGGGCTCTAAAGTCAATTACCACAAGCGGCTTGATCTGCCATAATAAGCCAAAATAAGAGTGAACTTCTTGAGTTGGATTTGTGAATGACTGAGCTCATAGATTCTTCCAAAGTACAAATAATGACGTTTATTATTATAAATACACATCAAAAAAAAAACTGTGTGGAGCCATTTGCATATTACATTGAACAGCTCAGAAGCTGATTTGTGGAATTCCAAACATGAAAAAAATACTTCCTTGCACTTTTTTGGTTGTAAGAATTTTGTATTAAACCCGAGGATTTAATCTGCCCAGTTAAAAGCCTAAAATGGAAAGAAATCTACCACTTATTTATGATTTAGGCTTTAAAAGAAATATTCACGGGATCAATTTACAGTTGCAATTTTTGAGACCTATGGAAATCCATCAATTTCATTTTGAAGACAACATCCAAAGGTAGGTAGTTACCTATATTATGTGGGCTACATTGGTCGGAAATGGACAGAATTCAGAGTAAATATCTTTGTTTTGTGACTTTGTGATGAAAGCCATCTCTGGTAGTTTGAAAATGAAATTAACACATTTTGTTACATTTTATTCACAGAAAATGACGCATCCATTTATCATGCATCACGCTGAACATCAGTGGTTCCAAGCATGATGCATCTTAACTTTTTATAATTGTCAAGGTGGCTCCTGGGTTGAGAAACGCAAACTTGCACAAAGCAAAGTATGAAACAGAACCAAACCTAACCAAGTATACTTTGGTCTGAATGCATTTTATAGTCTGTGTCCTTTTCCTTTCCACAACAGTCAAGTTCAATCTTCTTCAGAAATCTGAAAAAATATCCATATAGATGAAATCTCAGTCTCTAGTTCTTCTCTCCTTCAGCTTTGGCCTACTTCACCACAGTGACGACATGCTTCTCCTTCTCAGACACCACGGGAACGCTTCCTGGTTTGCTGTGTTTGCGAACATTCCTCTCCCTGAAAAATGACACAAGGAATCATGAATGTGAAATGAAGCTTTCTGGTGAGAATATTCAAGGAAGGATGGAGGGACGGGGAAGGGAGAGAACAGCAAACAGTGAGGAGAGTGACTGAATATGAGACTGTTGACCTGACAACTACGTCACAGACAACACTGATGCACTCTGAAAATAATGCATAAAGGACAGATAGTTAATCATTCACAGTTCAAACACATGTCTGACGTATCATAATACTCCTGGTAATTAAGGGGGGGAAAAAAGAAGCTATGAATCACTGGACGGCAGTGCAAACTAGGACAATCAATCCAGCATATAAATGAGTATTTAATGCCAACTGAGACCATGTCATAGAGGGCAGTCCCATCTGTGGTATTTTCCATCAGGCTGGTGTGACTGCTTTAGGTCAGACATTTCCTGACATCATGGATAAAGAGTGACTTTAATGTGGCTCCTATAACAAAATCAGTTTCTGTGTTATGAATAAAATGAATGCGTACTTTCTACGACGAGCCTCCTTCATAACCCTCAGCTCCTTGGTCTGGTGGTAGATGGTCTTTGGTAGATGTCGGTGGCGAGCGATGCGCCTGATTTGTGGGTGGTGCTGGAACTTCTCTTTTAGTTTCTGACTGTAGTTGGCAGCCTCTCTCTCCCTGGGGGCCAGCTATATCACACCAGAGAGGAAGAAGTTATTACACAAAACAAATTTTAAAAACGATGGAAAAATTAAGAGAGGAGATGAGTGAGAGATCAAAGAAGGCAAAGAGAGAAGACGACAATTAGGAGAAAATGTATACTGGGGTCATTGTTGACCCTGGAAGCCAAATTCCGCAAGTTAAATTTGGTTGCCCTTCTGCAGCTTTCACACTGCGTGACCACCAGCAGCTCAGGTCTGCTTCGTTGTCATGGAGCTATAAAACAATCCATCCTCAGACCAGTCAAAAGACTTCCTATTTCCATTTGATTTAAAACATGGCGTTCAAGTTATTGCAGAACTGGGCCCTGTACTATGAAGCAAGCCCAGCATATCCAGGGTAGGGCTGTTTGATATAACGATATATATCGGATAACGATATAAAAACATCCATCGTTTCATTTTACGCTATCGTTTGTTTCGTGGTGTCGCAAAATAAACTGTTCACGGCAATATTTTTTCATTGTTTTGATGGTCACTGTAGTGGCTATATTAATTTCTTAAAGTTCTCTCTTTCTCTTATATTTAATATAACCACACTACGGACAGACAAGCGCCTGTTTCTATGAGTTGTCGCTAGCAGCAACGACGGTAAAACCATCGCGTGTCCACTTGTTTATTTTCCACATAAACCTTTCACAATAAAGCTCATGATCCTGTCGAGACTTTTCAAAATAAACTGAATCACGTGAAAAGGTATGCAGAGTATTTACAGATGAGAAGCAAAAAAGAGCCGCCAGGTGCTAAAAAAATAAACCTTAAACGTTAGAACAGGCGCTTGTCCGCAGCACGCCGTGTAATAAATACTCAAAGAAATGGCGGCCGTTACAACTTATGTCTAAAAATGTATGGTTTAATGCATCGGTTAAAACACTTGACTCCAGGTACACGACGCCCAGCTTGAAACACTTCAGCTGCCCGAGATTCACAGAATTTACAGAAAATGTTAAATTTTTGTGATTTATATCGTCATTGGGACGATAGATGTCTTATATCGGGATATGAGATTTTGGTCATATCGCACAGCCCTAATCCAGGGTATATTTCTATTATCTGGATCCACTTACCCCAACATCGGCAATCAGGATAAGAGACACACACACGCACACGCACACACACACACACACACACACTAACCCTTGTTCTCATCTAACTCTGAGAAAGAAAGTAAATATAATTACATAAATATCTCCTCTGAGACAGTCATGATGTGCAATTAAATACAGGTTTTTTTCAGTGAATACTGGTGGTGACTTCTTTCAGCCACAAACAGGAACGTGCTCAGTGGACTTGTTAAATTGCTATTCTAACAGTGCTTGTTTAGAGCTGCAGTTACGGTATGTTGTCTAATGTTATAAAATGTTGGACAATACACTAAGCAGTAACTTCTTTTTGACAACATGTTCACTCAAAACTGAATCAATGTCTGTTAAAAAGTTTAAAAAAAAATAAAAAATAAAAAAGCCAGTGGCTCATAAAAACCACTGGCTAGCTGAGCATGTACTGGCTGGAGCTGCTCCCTTAAAAGGCTTTTATTCTAATTAAAAGCAATGATTTGTCTCAGATTCAATTTGCTAGAGAAGAGCTGTCAGATGCTGATCCTGTTGTACTAGACTAATTCCCCTGGATACAAATACTAAACACTGATTGTATAATCAACAGGACATTCAAAATATGAGACAGTACACAATTATGCATTTCATAGGTTTTGGTTTGGAGGGATCATACATAGCAAGGCTCTTATGAGCCAAACCAAAGTTTCTAACCGGTTACAGTGTGGTGTGAAAACAAAGCATGACACGCTACAGTTGGGGAAGTGGGGGGTATGACGCTTGAGATGAGCGAGTGTAACATAGGGACAGCTGCTCCCAGAGAAAACCTGCACAGGGACAGTGTGACAGTGACTGTTGGCAAAACAGATGAATCTATTTAGTCATTTAGTCATCCTGTCAACCCAAAGTCGAGGGGCCTGCACTACATGGTGTCAGTATTAACTGTAATCCTGCTGAGGCTCGGAAAACTTAAGCTATACACACCCAACCCTCTGCAGAAACCGCCACCACAATAAACCTTCCACTGCTATTAAAACTAAACTCACACACACGCCCATTCAGCTATCTTAGTGAGGACCTTTATTGAAATAATGGTTTCCCTAGCCCCTTACCCTAACCCAGACCTTCCCAAAGTG